TCTGACACTGGCCCTTCCCCATCTTGAACCGGATGAGGAAGAGATGTGGGCTGGGAAGAGGATCCAGCAGAGATCAGAGGCCGGGGTTGCAGCGTCCCTCGGCTGGTTAGCTGTAGACTAAGCTTATCCTCCAGCCCCTGGCTCATTTTCCCTGATGAGTGAGATGGGGATGGTGATCGTCCGCTCTCATCACGTTTTCGGAAGATGGACAGTAAGAGAGGATGTGAGCAGAAAATGAAACGGGTGCGAGATTCATTGTGAAGCTCTAAAATAACTGCTGTGCAGAGTGACTTACTGTGACTCTGGGGTCACCAGGTCTCTGTGTCCGCTTCCTCTGAGCTGTGGCCCAGACTATTAACAGTGGTTTTTAAGAAAATCCTTACCTCACACTCCACCGTGTAAGAGGGAACAAAAGCAGTAATTCAATCCCCTACGATTTGAATGCTTTTATTTATTTGCGTTTGTTTTCTTAGCCCTCATCCGCCATCCGTGCACCCAGGGGTTGAGCCCTTTCTGATAGAGGAGGTGGTTTCGTTCTTGTCTCCCTTCCAGACAAAGAATTCCTGAAGGAGAAGGAGAAGCTGGAGATGGAGTTGGTGGCCGTGCGGACTGCGAGCGAGGACCACCGGAGGCACATCGAGATCCTGGACCAGGCGCTGGGCAATGCCCAGGCCAAGGTCATCAAGCTGGAAGAGGAGGTGAGACCAGGCAGAAGCCAGCATGCCTCCGGGCCTCAGACCAGAGTCAGTTCCAAGGCGCTGCGAGACGGCACGGATCAGGGAAACCTCCCAAGTGAATATGAGTCAAAACACAGTTCCGGCCAGCAGAGAGCTTCCTCCCAGCCCACCGTCTGGCGAGGGAGTCAGTGGAAGGGCTGGACACCAAAGGTGCCTGTGGGCAGAAAGAGACTGACTTTTCCCGGAATGTTCCGTGGCTGTGTCTGAGCGCTCGTTGCGCAGGACAAGGCCAGTCTCAGCGTCTTCCGCTGGAGATGCAGTGGGGCTGGTGGCCTTCTGCAGACCTGCGTCCACTTTCCAGACGTGGTCTCAGCCAGGCAGGGGCAACCCCAATCCTGGAACTTTCAGTTTTCCAGGAGCTCATGGTTTCTAACAAAACCAACCCTTTAGATTATTAAGGTTCTCAAGGTAGACTTTTCCTCCTACAGTTGACAGTGGAATTCAAATGGTCATTTTCTGAGGCCCCACATCAAGGATTCGGGCTGCAGGTGCAGTGGTAGGAAAAAAAAGGCGGCAGGGGTGGAGGAGGGTGGGGGGGAGCTGTCCTAGCTGGGTAGCCATCTTCCAGCTCCCTTGGAGGTACAGGCACTCTTGGGCTGCTCTGGGGAGCGGCCCTGAGCAGGACTGTCTCGCAAACGTCCAGGACAAAGTGCCTAAAGTGAACGTCAGCACTGGAGCGCCTTGTCCATTCGAAGTTTGTTAACCCCCTGAGTCCTGGGTAGAAGCTACAGTTTTAACGGCTCACCCTAGTAACGACCCCCGAGTAGCTTTTCTTTTTGTAACTAGGGAACTCATTTGCCACAGAAAATGACCTGAGACCTGAAGCAGAGGGTGCCTACTTTGGGAAAAGGAGACCAGGACTCCTTATCGTTGCCATTGAAGTCATTTCTTGAAGCTAAGGAAAAAAATTTTTAATTGTTTTAACTCCCTTAGTTTTAATATTTCTATTGAGTAAAAGTCAATTGTGAGCTCCTGTGAAGACAGGTTCATTAGAATCGGGAGTATCAATTTTCCTATGGCAATGTCCTGCCTTTATAGTTATGTCAAACTTTGTCAAGTGCGGCCTCTCCAAAGCATCTCTCCTTTGTCTGGTTTCCAGACTCGTTCCTGGCCCTTCCTAGGGTGTCTTGAAGATTCTGAATTCAATCCCAGTGGTTTCCATTGGGTTAGTTACTCTAGCTTACCAGGGTAGGGAAGAACTTGAACTTCACGGCAGGGCCAGGCTCTTGTAAATTAGAATCTTGGCTCCAAGACAGTCTACTTTCTTATCTCTAAAGTGGAGATAATATAAGGACTTTACCTCCTACTATTATTTGGAGATTAAATGAGATAATAGAATCAAAGCACACATGTTTTAAAAATCTGCAGCCCATAGAGCTGATCCCAACCCATAGCCACCGTATGAGACAGAGTAAAACTGCTTCCAGTGCTGTAATCCTTACAGAAGTAGACTGCTTCATCTTCCTCCCAAGGAGCGAATTTGAACTCCTAACCTTCCAGTGAGCAGCCGAGCCCTTTAACCATTGAGCCCCAGAGCTCTTCCCCTGGCATTGCTCCAGATAAATTGACTATTAGAATTGTGGTTACTGCTAATCATCCTCGCCACTCTATGAGCTAGCTAGTACAGAGCTAAATGAGACGAACCGTGCCTTCAAGGAGATCATACTTACTCGTTCACATGGTGAATACTTACTGAGTATCCACTAGATACCTGGAAGTGTTCCAGACACTGGGGACCCAGCAGGGGACAAAGGAGACATCCACGTTCTAGTGAAGGCACTTCCAGGAAACCAGTCCAGGGCCACACCTGCTCAGTGCCGCATGAATATGCTCAGAAAGGTTAGATGAGATGCGCCCTGCAGCACAGTGCCCTTCACCTAGTAGGGCCTCAGATGTCCGTAAAGTTGAACTGCCGAGTCAAACGCACAGTGATGTTAGGGGCAGATGAAGACATACCCCAAGAGCAGGCTTGGGGAAGACTGTGAAGTCACTGTGCCTCCCTGAGAGCTCAGAAGCAGCCGTAATCTGTAATCCGTAATCTGTAATCCGAGCCAGCAGCACTGGGTAGGAAGTAGGCGCAGCCTAAGGCACTGTCCCTTAAGTCAGGAGCCTGGCAGGGCAGCAGCCCTTCCATCAGCAGCACGCCCCAGCGTGCTCTGATTGCCACAGCTGAGCACAGGATCTGAGTCACCTGCAAGGCATCTGCCCAGCCAGGTGCAGAAGGACAGGAAATCGCCTCTGAGGACCAGGTCATGTCAATGCCTCAGCATGATTTTTTGGCACCAGCTAATTCCCAGAAAGGAACAAATGTGCACAGGACTCATCGTTGTGAGCCAGTCGTCTGTCTAATTGGAGTAAAACAAAGTCTGGTTACAAGTTTGAGCTCATTGGTCCAACCTTAAGTTCCTATCGGATAAGACATTGACCCAAATCTTTTAACCTTAATTTCCCTTTCCTCAGCCATTGTGCTGTTTGAGTGTCCACTTCCTTCCTGCCTCTTCACCGAGGCTGTCAACTGCTGACTTGTAAATGGCTCTGAAATCTTTAGAGGGAAAATAACCCCATGCGGATCTCTAGTAAGACCCAGTTGTACTTCTTCACACATGCACAGATGGATAGGATTGTAGATAGACTTTGCATGCCTAATTTCTCTATTAGAACAGTCATTTCTATTTAGAGATTTTGAAGGCACCCCAGGGGTCCTGTTGAGCTGCTGATGGCAAGGTCAGCAGTTCACACCCACCAGCCTTTCCTCAGGAGAAAGATGAGGCTCTGTCCCCATGAAGATCTGCAGTTTCGGAAATGCTACATAGAGTCACTTGATGGCAGTGCATTTGAGTTGAATTTTTGATAGAAAATTTGAAAAACACACAAAAAACTATAAGGAATATAAGAAATTCCTGTTCTGCCACCTAGAAAATTATGGCTAATGCTATATTTATTTTATGCTTATCTATTTACACAGTTTTGATAATGGACATACTTTTGATTCTGGATTCTTCATTTAACATTATAGAGTAAGCATTTCCTCATGATATTAAGGACCCTTTATTAATTGTATTTCCAATCCCTGACAATGTTAGTTATTAATCAATGTGATTGGCTGGGTTGACTAGAGAAACAAATCCAGAGGCACTCATAAATGTATAAGAAATAACTTTATATCAAAGAGCAATTGTATTTTAAGAAAACATCCCAGCCCAGATCAAGTTCATAAGTCCAATGTTAGCCCATAAGTCCAATATTAGTCCATAATTCCTACTTTGGACTCACACAGCCACATGCAATGATGCAGAATGCAGGAAGATCACAGGCCGGTGGGTGCAAAATCTTGTAGGTCCAGTGGCGGTGGATGCATCTCCAAGGCTCTGGTTGCCATCAGCGTGGCTCAAAGTGCTTCATCAACAGGAAGGTCAAGCAGAGAGAGGGCTCTCGCAGGTCTCAGCAAGTCGCCCTGTGGCTTGTCAACAGGAAGACAAGGGCAGAGAGAGTGTGCGGCCCGCCTCCAGGGAGAAAGCGAGCAAGTTCCTAAAATCCCCATGAGATGTCACACCCAGGCGGCATCATCAGACTGTGACTTGATTGACAAGCTAGACTTCACGCCTATACTATTTATCAAGTTGACATGAAAGTATATAATGACCACAATCAGTAACCTAAGCATTGAGCTAAAAATCAAACAAAAACCTCAGTGCCGTCAAGTTGATACTGACTCATAGAAACAAACCCTACAGGACAGGGTCAAACAGCCCCTGCAGGTCTCTGAGACTGTAACTCTTTATGGGGGTAGAATGCTTCATCTTTCTCCCGCAGAGCAGTTTCAAACTGCGGACTTTGAGGTTAGCAGCCCAATGCATAGCCCCTGTGCCACCAGGGCTCCTAGCATTAAGCTCATAGCTGTATAAGACAAATTACCAAAAGTCGATTCCCTAGGGAATTTTCAATTCCAAGCCTCCTGGCCACTGGAAGCATAGTCGATGGCTTTTTAAAGAAATTTTCTTTGACCCCAGCACCTGTGAGAGATAGGGGTCAAATGGGGACATGCCCGAACAGCTTCCGCAGCACTCCCGGCCAATCTGACCCCTGCTTCCACTGCTCTATAAGCTCTGTGCTCTTTCTCCCTCTTCACTGTTCAGCTGCGAGAGAAACAGGTGTATGTGGAGAAAGTTGAGAAGCTGCAGCAGGCCCTGACCCAACTGCAGTCCGCATGTGAGAAGCGAGAGCAGATGGAGCGGAGGCTGCGAACCTGGCTGGAGAGGGAGCTGGATGCCCTGAGAACCCAGCAGGTAAGAGCTAGTGGAGCCCACTGATGACAAACCAGACAAGTTCACTGGCAGGCATCTGGATACCTGCCATGGACCAGACCCGGCATGCTGCACCGAGGTCCAAGACAAATCTCTGCCCTCGGGAGCCGTCACACGTCAGCGGAGTCCACTCACTGTGGACTGACCAGTGTCTTCACAGACAGGAGGTTACGGCTGGCTGGAGGGAGGAGGGGAACAAGGCATTAGATGATGTCACAGAGGAAGGCTTCGGGCTGGACTAAAGAAGAGAAATCAGTTGGGCACCTGAGGGGAAGGATGGGAGAGGCAGAGGATGTGTGGAGGAGGGAGGTGTGCAAGTGCACGGCAGGTCCAGGACAAATGGGTGCAGTTATCCAGGCATGTGGGGGCCTGGTGGGGTGGATGGCTAGGTGGCAGAGGCCAGTGTGGAGGGCATCAGTCAAGTTGAGAGATTGGACTAAGAGACTCTTAAGCTGAGAGCAGCATGGTACAAAGGATCTATGAAGGAGCCCTCTGGTAGTACTGGAGAACATTCTAGAGCAGTATTTCCCAAAGAAGGTGGTACCGCCCCCTCGGTATTATATCGTGACAATTTAAGGGGGCTGCAAAAGCAGATACCTACACTTTATCCTGCGTTAGTTTTAAATTGCCAGAGGGACACTGAGTAATTGTTTTTCTGCCAAGGATGGTAGGCCAAATCCGTCTGGGAACCTGCAGTGGTCTAGATGGGCAGATGTTGAAGGGGAAGTTCCTCCGCCCAGAGCTGCAGGTGTAGTGGGACTCTATGAAGGAGATGAACAGAAGAGTCCCTGAAGCTGTGAGTCACCATCACTTCCATGGCAGTGGGTTGGGTTTGGCTGTTTTTAATGGGGTGAAGGCAGCCCCTGGAGGTGCTAACCGGTAATGCCCTTGACTGCCAGCTGAGCGCTTGGACATTTGGGATCACCCAAAACTGTCCAGAAAGTAAGGGCTGGCCATCTGCTTTTGAAAACCAGCACCACGCACCCTGTACCGAGCAGTTATCCTCCGACACACGTGGGCACACCCTGAGTCCAGCTGACCTGGCAGCAACTGGTCCACCGGAAGGGGTTGGGAGTGAAATTCCTAAGACATGCATGATAGTGCGGTTTCAGAGTGAAGGAGAGGAAGGGGTTCAGGGAAACCCCTGGAAATTATACCGGCTGTAAGCTATGTTTTTCTGCCTCTCCTGTGCTGGTTACAGCTCTTATTGTAACTCAGAAATGAATAAACACAGCTATGAATGAATGCCTAGAAAAGAAGACCAGGCTTACACTTGGCTAGAGACTGGTGGGAACCCCAAGACTGTAGCCCTCAGTCACCCTCAGGTCCGGAAATGAACTCCCGCCACGGCTCCATTTTCAGCCCCACATGAGACAGGTCTATAAGCACTAGGAAGGTGTGCACGCCTTAGAATAGTCAGTCCTGTGAGGTCAAAGGGGCAGCATTTCCCCAAGAACAAAGTTCAAAGGGGCCAGGAAAGGAGGAGTGGAAACAGAAACACAGAGAGGAAGTGACGCTGCGTTGTGGGATCACAATCAACATGAAGCAAAATGCATATGAGTTGTTGAATGGAAACCTGGTCTGTTCTGTAAGCCTTCACTCAAACATAATAGAAAGTGAAAAAGGTGGGGGGGCACGGGGGGAGGAGGAAGTCTCCCCAGTTCAGGGGCCCTGTGTGCTTGCTTCAGCAAGGGAAGTCCTGCCTGGGTTCCAGTGGGCCTGAGCTGGACGTCACCGCAGGGTGCGGGGCAGAGTTCTGCGGGGCTGATGAGGGGTGGGTGTGCTCCGCGTGGGACCTTAGGGAAGCACCAGCAGGGCTCCGTGGAATCGTCTCCGGGACACGGCATAGTGGCCGTGGTCGTGGTCGAAGTGCATGGGGAGCTCATGCCGGGCCAGAGCAGTCACCAAGGTTTCACCGCTCAGCCAGTGGACAGGAGTGGTTCGTGAGATTGCCCGGGAGCTGTGAATCCAACCCCATCCTCCCGCCATCTGGGCTCATTTGGTGCCGCATAAAGGAAGGCGGCTCCTGCTCTGCACTTCGGATTCTCTTACAACCTGGGCCACCAAAGTGACTGACACCCTTCCACTGTGCGCAGTTCCTGAGACCTGGAGCTCCTCTCCCTGGAGGGGGGGCTCCCCTGGTGCCCAGTCCAGTGCTGAGCACACAGCAATGCTTTCCCGTCAACACAGACCCAAGTTCTTTTCCACCCCCGACAGTTAGGAGACTTATTGTCACATCTTGTACTCGGAGTGCTGTGGAGCCCAATTCAGCTCCTGGCCCACTTTCTGTATCAAGAAATGCACCGTCAGAATCTCTTGAAACGCCCTGTGTTGCGCACCCACAGACCCACCAGCCCAGCAGGCGGAGTTCGGCACCCCAGGGGAGCATGGGCATTTCGGAGTGGGCTCATGCAGGGAAGTAGCGCTGCCGGGGTGGTGCGCTTGGGAGCGGAGAGCTGATGGCCAGCCTCAGCTATGTGTAGCTGGCGCAGACTCAGGAGGAGAAGACGGCCTTTAGATTAAACCAAACTTTGATGCTGAACATTTCCTCCGAAGTGACACTGCAGTCTTGATCACGTAATGCGAATGTTAGCCTGTGCCCAGGGATGGGAAACACGCTGGGAGACTGTTCCTCGTGCTCTTTCTTCCCTGCGCATCAGAAAGATGACTGTGTTTTTTTTCCTCTAGTGCTTGTTTATTTTCTAATGTTCTTAGTGAGCCCACGTTGTTTTATGGCCAGAAAAGTTGAAAATGTAACTTACCCCCAAGAGAAAAAGAAATTACTGTATGTCTTGCATGACTAGTTTTACGAGGGTTGAGTTGGCCAAATTCAAGTCCACCTGGATTCCAGATGTGGATCCAGAAACTGGTGTGGGAAGCACAGCGGTCCCAGGAAAGGGTGCCGGGGCCTCTGATCTGCCTCCCGTCTCACCCAGCCCAGTCTGGATCTGCCGGCCGTGTCTTGGCTCCAGCAAGAGCAGGCTTCAGGAGGCTTCCGCCCCACACACCACACCCTGCTCTTTGCTGTGTGCCCATGAGGCCTCTGCCCACCCCAAGTTCCCCCAGAGAGCATGCTGAAGCAGAACCCTCCTCTCCACCCGCCAGCCACCATGGTCGAAGACCACACTGCCTAGCCGCAACCCCTGGGCATGATTCCGACCGAACAGACGTGGGAGAGAGTAGCTCAGAGCTCTCCAGTCACAGCCCTTCCAAAGACTGAAACCAGGGCACGGCCCCTCCACTCGCCCGCCCTCTGTCCACTAGAACCTCCGAGCGAGCGCCTTGCTCCTGCGGATGCCCTGGAACCTTCCCCAGGAAGTTGGTAGATAGGAGATGAACAGAGTGGACGGGGATCCTGTACTGATGCAGGGCGGGGTCGCAGGGGTCTGGCCGGCCGCATGGAATCTCTCCTCCTACGGAAAGAGGACTTGGCCAAGGAATCGTCCTGAGGAGCCTCCACTTCCTTGTCTACAAAATGGGGGCGATGAATTGTATCCACTCCATACTTGTACATTTAAATAGGAAAACCCTGCACGAAGCGGTTACCACCCTGCCTGGCGCCTAGAAAACGATGACGACCGAGTAGCTGTCCGTTGTCCTTAGTACTGTCCCCTTCAGCGACACCTGACTGCTCGGGGCGCTCTTGGAACCCTTTCCCAAGTTCCTGTACCCCGTGATTCCCAGTCCCACTGAAAGGAAGGTGACCGCGGAAGTCCAGCAGCTTTGAAGAATTGGGGCAGGGGTGGGTGGGGGTGGAGAGGGTTGTGGGACAGGCCAGGCCAGGTAGGACTAGTAGGAAAGAGGAGCACTCAGCTAACTCTTCACTATAAATCATTTTTTCTCTACGGGGGAGGTGAAGTATAGTACTTTGGTGAAAGAGAAATAAAATAAAGGAAGTGTCTTCTATCGGTCCTGTAGCTCACAGCCCGCTTATGAGCACAGTGATTTTTCTCTGTATCATTACCCCCTTGTACAAAGGGGCGTCAACCCGCTTGTGGGGAAATGTGTTATCTTTCAGTCCCATTTCTCCGTGGACTTGGTACATGCGTGCTCAGTCAGTATTTGCCCCCTCACTGGATGGGCTAAGTAGCTGCTATCCTGACTGACCTTCAGCCTGTTTTCCTGCCTTGTCTACTGGCCCACTAGGTCGGACTGTAGATTGAATGTTGAAATCCATACCTGTATTTAGATAACTCCTCATGACCTGCATCAGGGGGCCCTGTGAGGACTTGTGGTTTTATGGGAGGTCAAGAGGCTCCTGCAAATGTTAGTCAGCTTCTATGGCATCTCAAGGCTTCCGGGAGTAGCTGACGAGTGTAGCTGGGGCTGGGGAAGCTCTTTCTTGGAAATTTCCAAAAAATATAGGAGCCGCTCATTGGTGGACTGGTTCCCTTGCTTCCTGCCTGAGTCCGAGGGCCTAGCCAGGTGGGTGCAGTGATTTCCTGCACAGGTCAGATCAGGACAGGTACATGCCTTCCATATATTCCTATCCAAATTTTAGAAGGTGCATATGTCCAAATAATTCTAACAACTGGAGGCTCTCCTGCAAACAACATGATGTTAGAGCACAGTGGAAGGCATGCCCCTGTTCTGGGAAATAGGAAGGGAACGTGTGTCCCAGGACAGAAAACACCTGTGAAGAAATCACTCTCCCCATGAGTACCAAGGAACCTGACCTAGACTGGGACCAGGCTCCTTAAGACAGACAGCCCATCACCACCTCTGGATTGAAGTCAGAACCGGTTCAAAACCCCTAGTCCTCTGTTTAAAGGAAAGTCTATACCTGAATTAAAAAAAAAAAAAAATCCAAGCTCTCAATATCCCCCAACAGAGAGCTGTTTGTAGAAGACCTGGAACAAACCAGACCTTGCTGTGGAGTGCCTGCCAACTCCTGGCAGCCCCACTCTGTCTTGTACGGAGCTTGGCTGGAGAGCCAGGCAGACTGGTTGGCTTAGCAGGGTCTCTGAACTCTAGTTCTCGCGTGTGGAACTGGGATGATGCCGTCTGTTCTGCGGCATTTCAGGGAGAATTAAATGAGAGGACTTTGGGGCTGGGGTAACTTGGTGTTGGGACTCACGGAGTTCCTGTATATGCACAGGAGACAGGGAGGCAGTGCTCAGGGGTGGTGTGGATGGATGGACTGCCCTGTGTGGGTGAACCATTGTCCTAGGTGCCTGGGGTCCGTAACAAGAGCCCACAACATGAGGGGCTTTAAGGAACAGACATAATTTCTCCTAGTTCTGGAGGCCGGGAGTCTGCACTCTGGACACCAAGAGGGCTATGTCCACTCTGTCAGCCCTCTGGGAAGACCCTGTTCACCTGGGCCAGCTTCTGCTAGCTCCAGCCAGGCCTCGATTTATCTTCACATTAGCATCCGCCTGCCTTCCTCTGTGTGTCTGTCACCCAGCCTAGTTTCCCCTTTGATAAGACACTACTCATAAGCAATTAGGAATGGGATCCCCACCCCAACTCTTTCTGACATGAACTCATTGACCTAGCGGGTAACAGCTGCAGCAAAACCTCTCCCCAAACAAGGTCACACTTACAGGTATGGGGTTAAGACATCCCTTTCACATCAAAACAGTAATGAACTCTGTGTGTGTGTGTGTGTGTGTGTGTGTGTGTGTGTGTGTGTTTGTAAGAGAGAGAGGGTTTATAGGTCCACCCTATAGCCCATTTTTAACATCAGGATGTTGTTTCTCCATGTGTGTGTGTGTGTGTGTGTGTAAGAGAGAGAGGGTTTATAGGTCCACCCTATAGCCCATTTTGAACATCAGGATGTTGTTTCTTCTACTTGCTCAGAAACACGGCCATGGCCAGCCGGCCAGCATGCCGGAGTACAACGCGCCGGCCCTGCTGGAGCTGGTGAGGGAGAAGGAGGAGCGGATCCTGGCACTAGAGGCCGACATGACCAAGTGGGAGCAGAAGTACCTGGAGGAGAGCACCATCCGGCACTTTGCCATGAACGCCGCCGCCACGGCTGCAGCCGAGAGGTGAGACTGCGTCACTCTGGTGGCGACAAGGATGCTGCCGGCATCCATTGAGGAGGGAGGGAGGGAGGGAGGTCCAGATTTAATCAATCATGCTGCTGATGGGAGAGCGAGATGGTGTCACATTTCTGGAGGATCATTTGACAAGGTGTACCCCCACTCTAGCTCCACAATTTGCGTTCTGGGCCCTTGTCTTAAGGAAAGGATTATATAAACACCTAGACGTTCATGCTCCCAGATGTTCATTCCAGGGCTGTTGACAATAATCCATACACTAGACACCACCAAAGGGCCAACCGCAGAGGGGTCATTTGGTAACGTCCACAGTTAGCAATATCCTGGATGAGCCTTTCTGAGTCAGCGACCTCATGTGTGCAATGGGAATTATCATTCTTGACTGGTTACAAGTAGGGGACCCCACCCGCATGTTTCTAACTGAGGGCAGTGAAGCCCCCAAAGGAGCTGCAGGGTGCTACCTTGGACAGGTGACCCCAAAACCAAAAACCAGAATCACTGCCATCGAGTTAATGCCATCTCAAAGAGACCCTATAGAGCAGGGTAGAACTGCCCCTGTGAGTTTCCAAGACTAGCCATTTGTGGGAGTAGAAAGCCCCCTCTTTCTCCCGAGGAGCCACTGGTGAGGATGACAGCCCCAAGTGGAACCACTACGCCACCGGGACATAGCCTTTCTTTGTCACCTTCGTCTTAGCGCCCGTTGGGTTATCAGATGAAGTGTCCCTTTTGTCTCCAGGGCTCTGAAGGCACGATGGGGACCGGAATGGAAGGCACACCAGTGGGAGAGTGGCAGGTCTGAGGCATGCCCTCTCCGGTGGGTGGGGTGCGACTTGGGGAGTGGATAGAACTAGTCACCCATTGACACTGCTCTAGGCTCAGCCTTGTTTATCATCCTTCCTGCATGGGGAACGGGTCACCCTGCCGCAGAGAAACAGCAGTCCTGTGGGATTTATCCAAACCTCCTGTTCCCCTGCTGTTGCTAGGTGCTGTGGAGCCACCTCGTGTGGACTTCGTGTGATGGAGAACTGCCCCCATGGAGTCGTTAAGGTGGTCCCATTTTACAGGAGATCGCCAGAGGTTGGGGTGGTGGGGGGAGGCAGTACAACCACCAGCCTTTTGGTTAACGATCAAGTGCTTAACCCTTATACTGCCAGTGCTCCTTTTGCTATTCTCCTACCCTGTCCTGTTAGAGTAAGGTGACCAGGCATCCCGCTTTTGGCGGGACAGTCCCGATTTTTAACAATTTGTCCCACGTCCCGCAGCGTTTTATAAAAGTCCTGATTTTTGGAAAGAAGGCATGACAAGCTAGGGTATATGGTTTTTGGCTGCCATGTGGCTATTTCGCCAGGATATGAGTTTTATCAATGTCCTGCTTTACCAATGTTAAAATATGGTCACCTTATGTTAGAGGCCCCTGGTTGGGGGGTGGGGGTGGTAATAAGTGAGGTGGTATTGGGGGCTGGATGGATGGGGGGCTGGGTGAATCCTCTTTTTGCCACTGTTCCCTGTCGCCTCCCCTGCTTCCACATGTAATTACTGAACACTGAATCTATGGAAGACTGCTCTCCCTGTTACATACTTACTGTACCTTCCCACATCCTCAGGGGAAATAAAAGGTCAGCTCGTGTAGCTGTAACCTTCACGTTCTTTTCAAAGAACACACCTCTCTGTACTCTCAGCGTTGCCAGGGGAGAGAACAGGGAGCTAAAGCTGTTAGGGAAAGGTCAAATTTCTAGGCTCTTATCTAAATGCTAAATGACTCCAGACATAAATTAGTTAAAAGAACCAGCCATTAGTTCTGTGATTTTTTTTCATCAAATAATGCCTACTTCACATATATTTTATTTTATTTTGTAATCATTTTATGGAGCCTCTTAACAACTCTTATCACAATCCATATATACATCCATTGTATCAAGCACATTTGTGCATATGCTGCCATCATCATTTTCAAAACATTTTATTTCTACTTGAGTCCTTGATATCAGCTCGTTTCCCCCCTCCCCCACCCTCCCTTCCTCATAAACCCTTGATAATTTCTAAATCCCCCCCACCCCGCATGTCTTACATTGACTGCTGTCTCCCTTCACCCACTTTTCTGTTGTCCACCCCTCTAGGAAGGGGTTATATATAGATAATTGTGAT